AAAAATTGTTTTTTACTGCTATTTTAGACTGGAAGTAGGTGTCATCAATTGTCACTAGATCTAAGTAAAGTACCAATTTTTGATGAAATCAGCTGAGTTTTGTACAGTGCTGTGTGAAATGTTGAGAATCAATAGCACAGCTTTTAATACACAGCCAGGAGGCGAGTTTGCTCAGTTACAATACTTAGTAAAGCGTCTGCCTGTCGAATCAAACATGGAGATAGGTCTAGTCTAGATCTAAGAAGGGAGATCCCGGGTTCGACACCCACCCAGGCGGATTACTGAAGTGTGTTAACGTTCCCCTTCCCTTGTTCATAGGCGCAGGTTATGTCAAGTGGAAAACACTCCATCCCTCAGATAGGACGTTAAATGGAGGCCCTGTGTACAGGAGAGTCACCACCCTTGCAAAGAACCCATTCATTGCACTATTCGTAGCTATAAATTATAGCTAGAGGTCTAGTACCGGTAAGTAGTATAATCTAGACCCTAGTGTAATGATCCACATGCACACCCCAATCAGGCCAAGTAGTATACTGTACATGGTATAGACCTAAGACATCTGGAAGAATCTTCAGTACTGAAGGAGGCAGATTATCTTGAAGAAGAAGAAGGATAGTAGGCCTAATGGTATATTTGTATACTTGTAAAGCGCTTAGAGACATTTGTATTAAGCGCTATATAAAAATTAAATATTATTTATTATATCCCGGATACTAAGAATCTTGCAAGCTGATCGGTCTAAACGAGGTCACATGATAAAATATAGATAAGTACTATCTACCTTAGATTAGGGTGTCTGATCGCGCACTCAGTTTTGTGTGCTAAAATCACCCCATAGAGATTGCACACATCCCTATGCAGTCCATGTGCATTGCGCGCTCATGCTAAATTGGTCAATGTTTTTATTACCAAAATGAGATTCAAACCAATATTACTTTTGATCCTGAAGGTGATACTTAATGAGTCAGTGATGTGTCATATAAAAGAGAAGGTTTTACTCCATATACCCCATAGGGGGCCACCCCCAAAACTCTAAAAATATCTTGCTCAAAACAGCAATTTAAACATCGTTTCCATGGCAACTCAGAGATTTACCAATTTCACGAACTGCCCCCCTCCCCCCCAAGGGATAAGTTGGGCCTGCTGTAGAATATATCCATGCACTTATTTTTTTTCTCTAGTCCCAAGGGATCATTAGACCCAACAGTTTGAAAATACCCTTGCTCCACGCTTTGCATATCGTGCTGTGCATTAGCTGTGCAGCTTTTGAGCAGAAATTATAACTCTGCGTGAACCACTTTTTTTGTCCATTCTGACCAAAATGTTATGAATATTGCAGTTTTTGAGGGGCTATAGCTTTTGATAGAAACATCGGTGAGTCTTGAAATTTGAAGGGTATTGTTCTGATTACATTTTTATTCCAATATCCAACAAAAATGGTGAAAAACGATCCCAAATTGAAAATTGAAAAATCGTTCAGACACCCTACTTAGATAGTACTTTTGTAAAGTAATTTTTTGCTGCTACCCCACTTGCCCACCCTTGCCCATTGAATACGCATAGCAAAGTAGGTTACGCGAAATGTCAAAGTCACTGTCAATGTCAAATGAGCGTGCATCGACTGTATTACATACATGTAGATCTATGTATATGCATGTTGCACTTTGTAAAATCTAGCTGAAGCTAAACTGTCTGCAGAATCAGTTCTCATTTTTATGTAAAATCACTTTAAATAGACCTTAGGCTTATCGCCGATGTGGGATAGATCTATCAAACAAATATTAACCTCCTGGCTTTACTCAGTCTCATACAATGGATACAAAATATCATCGCCTCTGTGATCGTATCTCGGGGCGGTGCTAATGTAGTTGCGTATCCATTTATATCAAATTTTTTAGCAGTTTAATATCCATTCTTAGTAAATGAATTTTAGCCCAATTTTTTACTAATCTTAATCATAATCATATATTGCATTTTCCACCTGAATTTGGATCACATCCGACATCGGGAAACCTCCGTTTAGGGCTTCGATGTCGACGTCGTCGCTCAGTACCGTCTCCGCGCTACAGCTCTCCACCTCAAACTGAAGCTATCAGTCTAAAATTATGCGAACTTTGCGTATGCTTTATGGTATTACGCACATGCACGATACCATAAACTATACGAGAAGCTTGCATAATTTTAGACTGATAGCTTCAGTTTGAGTTGCAAAGGTAAGTATATAGCGCAGAGACGGTACTGAGCGACGACGTTGACATCGAAGCCCTAAACGGAGGTTTCCCGATGTCGGATGTGATCCAAATTCAGGTGGAAAATGCAATAGACCTCTATATGATTATGATTAAAAGGGAGGCGAGTTGGCTCAGTCGGTAAAGCGTCCGTCTGTCGAACCAAAGATCCCGGGTTCGACTCCCACCCAAGCGGATGACTGAAGCCTGCGTTGTGTGTTAACGTGCCCCTTCCCTTGTTCATAGACGCAGGTTATGTCGAGTGGAAAACACTCCGTCCCTCGGATAGGACGTTAAATGGAGGCCCTGTGTAGAGAAGAGTCACTACCTTTGCACGTTAAGAACCCACTGCACTATTCGTTTAAGAGTAGATCTAGGGGGAAACCCCGGTGTAGTGGTCCACCTGCACACCCCCAGTATAGTACGATAATACTCTGTAAAGAGGTCTGTACTCAAAAGGAAGAAGAGAAGAAGTAAAAAATTGGGCTAAAATTCATTTGCTAAGAATGGATAGACTATTAACCTGCTAAAAAAAATTGATAGAGGTCTAGGTAAATGGATACGCAACAACATTAGCGCCCTCGGGGCTACCATCATCCCTGGCCTTGCGGCTCGGGATGATAGTAGCCCCGAGATCACCTGGGCGATGATAGTTTGCACCATTACCCTCGTAGGCCTAGTCGATTAATATTTGCTTATTATTATGGATGCAGCTATGTGTGTGCAGTACACATCAGCTCAGTACTGACAGGGACTGTTGCGACTGAAAATGCCCGGGAGTTCTAGGGCGGGCACTATACACGCAGCTTCCGATCTTGGTTTAACCTCCGGAAAAGTATTCAAATATCAAAAACCACATAAATATCACTTTGAGAATACGAAATTACGGAATAAATATGACATGTACTTACAGGATTTCTACAGAAAATCGTGTTCATTGTCACAGATAAAGTCTATAAATACAAAACAGCCTAGCTAGTAGCCTCGTTGTTATGAGGGGCAGAGTTGTTGTTGTTGTTTTGGTTTATAGCGCTAGCGCGACACTATAGACTCGTTCGCGAACTATCAATTAATTATTGACTATATCAACTTGTTATTTGTTTTATGAAAGGGATTTTTACTTCTACCGCAGATTGAATTCTTAATTAGATGTGTTATATTAATTCGATTCTGAGTTCAATGCTGCGGATATATTCGAGTCTCGTAAGACTTCTGGTGTATTTGAGTCTTGAACAAGACTATTCAGACGCCACCGCTGAGTAGCTGTTCTCAAAGAAAAAAATCCGCAATTGTCAATGCAGGGAGGTGTTTTAGACGTTGTCATTGAGTTGCAGTTTTTGTTTGTTAAAGTTCTGTTTCAAAGGTAAACAATTATCTTCATAAGCCAAGTCGAATTCAGAAGAATGTTAGATGGTGCAGAGGTACAGCTCAATTAGATTATACAGTGATACTAACAAGAAGGCAGGCTAGAGAAACATAGAGTACTGGTGATGATATAAATACTGATAATGAATATGATAATGATGACGATAATAATAATAATAGTAATAATAATGATGATAATAATAACAACAATAACAATTTACAATAATGATAATAAACCATATGTTTGAGGCTTGGAGCTTTTAAGTCACTTCAATTCAGTTCGCACCATTGACAGTTTCAAGGCTGTCAAATGGTGCTCTCGCCAGATCAGACATTGAATATATATTCTTCAAATTGAAAGGCTATTTATGTATTTAAAAACAAAATTGAATAGCGGAACTACAATTCATCGCCCCAGAATAAATACTGCTTGAACAGTGAACACTCATGCTGAGGATCAATTTACCAGGAACATAAGCATATACCTCAAAGTTAATTGTGCTGAAACTTTATTGAGGGGGTGCATTAAAAGAAAACATAATTATGGAGATAACAACTGCAAGGTAAACAAAAAAGCTATCACCATAGATAAATACCAAGGTTTGATTGTTCTAAAACGACTGCAGGATTAGATAAATTCCTATTATTCGCCATGATTTTTTAAAACTTGAAATGGGTATGCATACAAATTGTTAACATCGTGATATCCAATAATCAGACAATTTGAATAGTTTCATAGTATACACACTAAGCAGTGGCAAACCCTAAACACACAACAGCTCTTACATCTAATTGTCACATATTGTAGCTATAACTTCTTCTATAGATTTATTACGGTGTTAGAATATTCACCACATAATGTGTATAATTTTGTTAGTTTTAAACTAAGTATTATGGAAAGACATAAAAACGTATTAGGTTCAACTTTGCATATGAACTGCATAATAAATAAATGGCAGGGGGAAACAAATCTGAATTCGTCTAATTGCTACACAAATTCTACCTTTAATTAAACCGAATTAAACGACGTGATACACCCTTTCCTGCATGTAAAATAAACGACGTGTAAATCGATTTCCACACAATCTGTCGCGAATTTTACAAACCAGGTTTGTAAAAAACGCGTCATATGACGTACGAAAACCAAGGTTTGTCAACAAACCTCCTTTGTGAATTTGGGCCATACAGTTTTGAATTAAACCGACAATGGGTAATGAAAGAAATGAAATCCCATCGCAAACACAAATAAATGTAGTCACAAAAAGTCAACACCACCCTCTCCTCAGAAAATACATGCCTATAATTGTGATTTTAAATTTCTGTAATAACCGATACATTGGTTAATTGGTGTGAAAACATAAAGACAAGCTACAAATACTGAATAAAAAGATTGCATTAAAAAGATACTTCATTCTGAGATGACTCTTTTGTAATTAATCAAAATTGTAACAATAATCATAATGCATGTAATTACTTTGGTGATTTAGAGAGAAGGAGAAAAAGTACATAAGAGGGGAGGATGGAAAAATGAAGAATGGAAAAGAGAAGAATGAAAAACATTAATATGGTAAGCAAAAATAAATAAATACAAACATGACAAAGACACAGTTGGTTGTTAAGGAGTCGTACGATATAGGGAATAATTGAAGTGCAGTGTCTCTCAGTTCTACAATAGGGTATAGTTATGTGTAGAGAGTTTCAGAGTTCATGGCAAGAGGTTTGGCGACGAGTTGGCGGTAGAACATAATTCGATCTCGTGATGACTTAAACAGTTTGAGAGAAAAGGATTCAAGAAGGGCAAGACGGCAAGAAGTTAGACTCTGGAGAGAAAGGAGTGGTTTCATACAACTGTTCTTATCCAAGGCTAATACATCAGACACGTTTCTGCACTTTCTTCAGACTGCAACATAACTGTTCGTGAAATTGATGTGGACCAAACTGGAGAAGCGTATTCTAGCAAAGATCGGATATATGTCGAGAAGATGTCTGCTAAATATTCACATGATACTCCAAGATGTCGTAAATGTATAGTCGCTTGCCGGCACTTGATATCATACCAAACACTTGGAAATTCCATTTGAGATCTGACTGTAAAGTGTAATATAACTCCCAGAATTGTCGGAGTGGTGCAGTTTTGGATGGCCTTGTGGTCTAGGTGCAGCATTTGAAGGGCTGGTTGGATACACTTCAGGAACACTTACTTGGATTCGGTTTTGAACTGCTCACGTGAGTAAAATTCCTTGTCCTTTACTAGTACTTGTCATGTCTAGTATAGTTACACAGAGTCCAGTTTCTCTCCAACTATTCAGTTACATACTGTGCAATGCAGTGAATGCTCCTGATGGTAAAATGTATCTAAATCACTGACTGTTCTTGCACCTTTTAATTCTCCGCAAGATGTCTGAAATGACCAGGGTTATTTCAGAATGGCATGTTTTTTCAACTGGAGTTCACCATTCTTTGGAATGTGCTGTTTTGTTTTTTGCAAAACCTGGTGAATATTGCTCCACTGATAACTTTGGTCGAGCCATTTGATGCAGTGTTGAAGTTGTTCCTTTGCTAGTAGCTCTATCAAATAAAAGAAACAAAAGAGAAAAGAAAAATTCATTAAATTTTGATGAAAACTGAAGGAATAATGTGATAACGGATGCTGAGCTTGAGCAAAGCTGCAAAGGAGATAAGGGACACCAATCGGACTATTGTAAGATAATTTTGCATTTCAACACTTCGACACACATTTCCTAACATGCTTGAGGCTCTATTTCGTTTCCTTTGCAGGACTTTATCTCTTTCAAATTAGTGCAGACTAAAAATTAATATGAATATCATAAGTAGGTGTTTCTTCTAAATGATCCAACAGATGCAATACTAATTGGTAAAGATCGAAAATTACATATCTTGAAAACAGTCCAACCTGAAGAAAAGTGCATGTTCTCGTAAAACAGTTTATGTTATGCCTCAACAATAACGTTCGCTGTAAAAAGTGGGAGGCGGGTCCGCCAAAACATATATCGTGAGATCAAAGTATCATTAGATTAAATTTTCATTCCTGGATTTTGTACAGATTAAAAAATAAATAATAAAATCCCTTCATTGTGTAAATTCTATAACGTTATCTTTTTAACAATGTGAGAGTTTTTTCTATTGTCATAAAGAGAAATCCTTATGTGACCTTTGACCTACTTACCTCAAAATATAATCAGATTGTCTTCCTAAAGTGATACATACTATTAACAGGTTTGAAGTTCATACCTCAAATGATTACTGAGATATCTCAATTACAAGGCTTAAAACACCCAAGTTTCATGCAGTCCAGTCAGTTAAAGGGCCCATGCCATCCAAATACATGTTTATTCCTGTTAGTGTGTAGTCCTGCACACATCTCATATTTTGATATGTAAACTTCTGAATGTGTTTCATAGATTTGTTAAATATTGTTTTAAATATTTTTTTCTTCAAACTTGCTAAGCTCCACCCTAAAAATCTGCCAGATCTCATTCTCCTTGTGACATCATCTGTCAGTCATCAATGAGCTAACTCGAGAAAGTGGTATGTAACTTTGCCGAAGTTGACCATCTGTTACAATACAACAAACAATTTGGTTGGCAGGGGCCCTTAAAGGCATTTGGCCAAAATATTGCCAAGGTAACAACCAGTCGTACATTTTTCTGCTGCAGTTAGGTCTTAGATCAACTACTGCGATTCGCATAACTTTTAATGATCCCTCATGGCGTGCTACTGCTGTGTGATGTGTTCCCGCCCCCCCCCCCCCCACTCAGTGTTATTTAGGGTACGCATATGCGTGTTCCAACCGACCCCCCCCCCCCCTTTTCAGCAAAAGTCCGGTGTGTAAAGTCAATACGGCTCGACCTTTTTCTTTTGTATACAAGCCTTTTTCCGCACCCCCCCCCCCCCCTTTTCAGCAAAAGTCCGGTGTGTAAAGTCAATACGGCTCGACCTTTTTCTTTTGTTACGAAAAGGACATTTTGGCAACACGCATGCGGTCATTTTGAAACCTGAGTGGGGGGGGGGCTGGGGATGTGTTACGGCTCCAGATGGCTGTAGATGCACCACACTGCTCTGTTGTACCACCGTATGCAGTACAATGGCTGCACACGTCACGTGCATTCATTAAAAAAAGTGGCAACAACCAAAGGAAATTGGAAATGCCCTTTAGGCTTCCTGCACCAAAAGCAGGCATGGTGTTAGGACTTGTATGTGACAGAAGTAATTGTGAGGCAAAAGAAGCTGTGAAGGTGGAAGGACAGCGAGGATATCGTACATGTTCAAGAATGTCTGGTTTCTGTTCATAATAGATATGAAACAAAATTATACTAATTGTATGACAGCTAGCATTCAATTCACTGTTAAGATGCAATCAAATTTATAAAATTGACTTAATCCCTGGGAAAATCACAAATGATGGGAACAATGGATGTAAAATTGGGTGTATAGGATCATGCTACTTGTATAACGTCAACGTATGACCCCCGCCCATGATAATGATTATACGACTGAGAGTACGTCAACCATGATCACTGCTGTTAGTGAGACAGCCCCACATCCATTGCTGCTTCAATGTACTTACCAAAATATGTAATTTCTTTCATAGCAGGTAATTAGCAGGCAAGTGGTTGTGTCTAAGGGTTGAATAACAGCTTCAATTGAGGCGAAGTGTCCCCAGTGCTGAAAGCTGCACCAGAATCAGGCACGGTGTTGACTTGTGACAGAGGTAGTTGTGAGGCAAAAGAAGCTGCAAAGGTGGATGGATAGCGAGGATCTCCTACATCTTCAAGCATGTTTGGTTTCTGTTCGTAATAGATGCAATATGAAAATAAAATTACACCAATGCTAAAACGGCATTTACTCGAATGGTGTTAGCTAATTTATAAAATTGACTTAAATAATATTTGGAAAAATCACAAATGATGGGAAACACGAGCAGAAATGGATGTATAGGATCATGCTACCTGTATGGCATCAAAGTATCACCCCCCCCCCCCCCCCAATGCTAAAACAACATTCACTCAAATGTGCAGATGCAAGGAAATTACAAAATTGACTTAGCTTGTCTCTTTTTTTTTCCATTTCCAACAAAATAAATAAAGTACATGGGATTGCATTGTACATAGTTACATGTACTTAGTAAAACAATGAAACTTATCGATATATGTAATTGGTCCACAGTGTACAACAGGTATATAAAATAGTTCTGTAAGTCAGACGCTATGTTCGTGTTCGGTTCGGTTCGGCAGAGTTCGGCAATTTTTCACCCGAACTTGGTTCGGTTCGGGGTTCGGTAATATAATAGCAAGCAACGTTATAGCCACGGCGGTTGGCACTGGGCGGCCGTCCGGCCTGCCGGGCCCGACCAGCACGGAGGACGTCTGCACACTGCTTCCGACCAGCACGAATTTCACATTAAAAAACTGCTCTAAACGTAATTATTTGTGAAGAAAAATACTACTTACATTTATCCGTCTTGAATCGTGTTTTATTTTCAATTTTAAAAGAATCATGTTTTCAACTGGTCAATAAATTATATTTTTTAAAGATTTTCCGAGACGGTTGTTGTCTAATGTTAGAGTCATGAAAGTTGCCATCTTGAATAGAGATTCAGGCTCGTCAATAACTGTTTTTTATAAGTTTTTATTTTCAATAGGAAAAATATGAAATCCCTATTTTTCCTGTGGGGGGGGGGAGGGGGGGGCTAAGTTTTCGGAGGGGGGAGGGGTAAAATGTCCTTTTGCCGTAATTGTCAGGGGTGATTGTCCGGGGGGGTAATAGTCTATAGAACCCTATAACAACATACACTCTAATGTGAAGATGCAAGCAAATTTATAACACCACTGGGGAAATCGCAAATGATGGGAACTACGTACTACACCGATGCAGAAATTAGGTGCATAGGATCGTTACCCCCACTCCCTCCGACTATAAATAGCTTTCCCTGAATTGTTCAAGACAGTGCTTATTGTGTACTACTGTATATGCCCTTTGCTTGTTCGTATTGTTAGATTACAACAGTAATTACCAAAACAATAACATTTTTTTCTTCAAAAATGAAGTTGATCTAGACAGAGTCTATCATAAAGTCTATCAAAATTCCTAAAATTTTACGCGGCTCAGCAACGTCGCGCCATATCCCCGGCCCCCCCCCCCCCCCCCCCCCCACTCAGAGGTCGGAATGACCGCATGCGTGTTGCCAAAAAGTCCGGTAAAGGGGTACTTTTCGTGCGACAAAGTCCGGCCCGAGAATTGTAAAAAAAGGGGTGTATTTGACTTTTCACCCGGAGATTTCTTTAAAAAGGGGGTGTTTTTCTTTTTTTCTCTCATCTCTTTGGACTCCTGAGAAATAATTTAGGGGGGTACATTGAGCATTTTTCCTGATTTAGGGGGGTCTCCAAGGCAGGAAAAGCCCGCGAAAAGCCCGCGAAAAGCCCGCGAAAGGGGGGTTCGGAAATGTTGGCAGTCCTCAGATAGGGGGTGCTTTCAAAAAGAGGGTACGAGCATATGCGTACCCTAAATAACACTGAGTGGGGGGGGGGGCCGGGGCCATATCTGGCTTATTGAGAAATATGCATCATGCAGCTACCCAACACACAGCTTGATGTTGGGCACATTTACATGTGATTAAAGGATTGTTTCAAGAAGTTTTAAATTTGATTTTAAAACAATCCAGGGGAACCTGGATAAAAAGAAGAAAAAACAATGAAATGAGTTTAGAAATGCAATTCAGATTAAAAAAAACACTGTATAGATTCTAATACAATCATATTAATTAATCAATCCATGACTTTAAAAATCAAAGAGCAGTACAAAACTACAAACAGTTTGAGGTGGTAGAACTCGTACAATTCATCCAATAATGAAAACGCGGCCAGGCACGCGATGGCCCGCCGGGTAGGCAGAGCTTCACTCCAGTTACCGCTGGAATGAAGGCAGAGGGACGAAATAAGTTGTAACAACACAAAATACAAATCATAAATTACTTACAAGTATTGTTATTGTCGTTTTAGAGCATTGTCAGGACCAATGACTGCCTTTTATCACGAAAATGACCTCGCGATTCATTGAATCTCGGTCGTACGAGGACTGCAATCGCACACCGTGCATAACACATGCATGTGTGCTGTGCATATACATTGTAATGCATTGTGTAGGTAGCAATTTTCACTTCCGCATTACTGCCCTCTATCGTTGAAGACATGTATACACATGTATTTCTAACCAATGTTATGATTTTTGTTTTGGCGGAAAATAAAAGACAAAAGCGGAAAATCGGAAAAAGAAAAATAAAGCGGAAATTTTCAGCCAAAAGCTGAAAGGTTGGGAGGTGTGCCAGTGTGTGATCCTAAGAAACAATTTTACAAAAAAAAAATTACATTGATAACTCATTTCGATGAAAACATAAAATCTCATTGATTAAAATATAATGAAATTATAACATAAAGAACAATTAATATATTCCATCTAAAAAATATTCAGTGAAAAATCCTGGTTATTATGTGTTGATGGCCAAGAACATGCTGCCTGCTCCAAAATGCATCATCATTCCATTTTGCCATTTAATAGTCCCATATAGAAAAATAAACCCCGTTCTCATTCACTTCGTTGGAGTGGTCTAACTAAGACCCATTCCTCAGGAGCAGTTCTTAATAGGTGAGTGAGAACGGTCAAAGTGGTCCAGGAAGTGGACTTCTGGACCGCTCCAGAAGACCACCTTCCGAGGTGGTCTTGAGGAACGGGTCTTATGAGCGGTTTGGACCGCTCTAACGTGCAATGTGAACGGAAGCGTACTTTGAACGGAAGTGAGCTAGTGACGTTCCGTGCGAAACATGTAGTAAGGTATACGGTTTGTATTCCGGGCGTGAAAAAAAGTTGACCTGCTGACCAGAGCTGCCATAGCAATCTTGTGGAGCGGTTTGAGCCATAAAAAACTGCTCGGAGTGTGAACGCTCGCAAACCGTTCCTCAAGACCTGGCCGTTCCTCTGGAGCGGTCTAACTAAGACCGCTTTCAAAGTGAGTGAGAACGGGGTCATAGATAATGTTTGCTTGGTATTTTTGTTCAAATCATATGTGATGTGTATTTTTAACAATGAGTTATTCCTATTATTCTCTATATCTTTATGAAAAAGAAAAAAATTATAATTGCAAATTACAATGGATGTGGCCCTTTTACTTGTCCTTGCATGGCCCTAGCTTGAGTTCCTGCAGGGTACTTTGTGCCAAGTTATTTCTCTAAGAGTGGAATTCATGTGAGGAATATTGCCATTTTCAGTAGGGGCACTGGTCTGAGAATGAAGATTGTCCGCATAAACGAAAATATCCTGGTAAACGCTGACAAGTCTCGACCTAAAAAAATAAGGATTGTCTGCAATTTTCACGGACGTTTTTTCTTCTTCGGTGCTCTGCAGGTACAGGGTTCCTGATCCGCGTGCTGGCAATTAATGCGAAAAATGGATTCCGCATAATAAAATACCTCCAGTTCACCGTCTATACTTTCTATGTCTTCCCTAGGATTTATTGTTCATAACGTGAAAGTCTCTGCGTAAGTGTAAAATGCATTATGGAGCATCATCGTGGAATCCATTTTTCGCATCACCAACGCGCGGATCGGGAATCCGGATCCTTCACGAAAATGCGGATGATCCTTATGTTTTCTGGATGCGAATGGTCTGCATTTACGAGGGTATTGTCGTTTATGCGGACGATGCTTATTCTCGTACTAGCACGCCCCTACTGATTTTGTGAATAAATCATTTTTTTTTCGTGTTGGCGTGTATAATCTACAGACATAACATGTGCAAGCATTGCGCACAATGAACCGTTAGGCTTTACTGTGCAGAGTCCTTGAATGAGTGGTGGAATATTTCACAAGCATGCCAAGAATGTGTAGACAATATAGTCATTTTGACTTTATAATAATTATTTTAAATGAAATACCTACATAGTACATTGACTATAGCGCCAAACATGCCAAATGAGGAGAGTGAGCAGCACAAATAGCCGCAGTATCATCAAGTTTGCCCAAAATTTCTTTGAATTTTCTGTTGATCTAGACAGAGTCTATCATAAAGTCTATCGATGCGCAAAAGCTAGTGAAACAAAGTGCAATGGAATAAAATCAAGGGGCAGTTTTTTCAGTTTTTCAACGCGATTTTGAGCTGTGAGTGTGAATCATGAAATTAAATAAGAGAACTGATTTGTTAAGGTTATTTAAACTGCAGTATGATTTTGAAGCATTATAATGATTCATATTCAATATTATATTGAACAATAATTTACTTTTTCTACCATTTATAATTTAGTAGGCATAGATCTAGATCTAGATCTAGGCTACCGGTATTTGTTTTGTAGACCTAGATCGATCTACATGCATGTGTGGAAAAGTAATGAGGTTGATACCGGTTAATTAATATGCATTGAAATTATAGGAGTGTGAAGTGGAATTTGGTATGCTCAAGTTGGATGGATTTTGATTGTACAACACTTTTTCGTAGAAAAATTGCCAACACACACACACAAATAACGATGGAATCACACACAGAAAAGTTTATATTTGGGACTATTCATAAAATACAAAGGCAAATGGTTTTCAAACAATATCAGACTAGATCTAGTCCTTATCGATTATTCATCTAAGATGAATATCTATAGACATATTTAAAACTTACGGTATACATTGTAGATATTTTTGGAGTGAAGACAAGGAACCACCAGCAGCATAGGCAAGGCTAAAAGCTGCGCTGACCAGCTGAAACTGTAGCTGATGCTAGCTGCAGGTACTGTATCTAGCTAGGCGCTCTGGCGGGTCTAGCGGCGGCGCCGGCGGTCGACGCCAGTCCTGGGCGTACTGCAGAGAGCTAGCCCTGCCGGATCGCGTCGAGCTAGCTAGCCCTGCCAGGGCCGGACCCATGGGGAGCGTTGGGGTGCATGCCCCCTTTTCCTTCCCCCAAAACAGGGAAAAGCCCAGAATTTTCAAATAAATGTTCAGTTTACGCATTCAGAAATGCCTCAGAATGTACCATAAAGCATCTTATAGTTCAATTTTTTTTCCGGGGCCCTTTGGCCCCGGACCCCATGCCGATATAACACTTCATGCTCCTCCTTTAAAAAAAAAACTCTTGGATCCGCCGCTACAGCTGGTCGGTCGCATGCAGGATGTAGCATAGGCTGCCTAATGATACGCGCGCGTATTCCGCACAAGCCTTCCACAGTAAGTTACTGTTACAGAATATAATCCAGAGGCGGTGATCTACAGTAGCTGAGTAGCGCGCGCGCGCTGGATGACTAGTTTTATCAGTATCTTACTGGGTCATCAGTATAATCCAGGAGACAATATAGTTCCAGTACATTACTATTGCAACTATGTCACCTGGGTTACAGAATATATATTCTGCTCTGATATATACTGAGCGACTTTGGGTCACCTGCTTCGATAGGTTACTGGCTCGATTATTGGTATCAGGTGTCGTTATAGTGTCGGTAGAGCACCGGTAGCGTCTCGTAATAGATCAACGGCTCTCCGGTGGCCTCAATGTGTGCCGACACTTAGGTATCACATCGGTAGTTCATCGGCAGTACAGCGGCGGCGCCTGGTTATAACATAGGCGCACAGTGGGCCAGGGAGGAGCAAAAGTGCGCCAAAACTCAATTGTTGTGATTTTTTTTTTTTTGCCCTGTTGAAAGATAATTCATTGAAGAATACGTCAGTAAAATATTTAATTCCGGTATGCACAATAAGGGTATAAATGTACTCCTTCAAACAGCAAAATCTTACATATTCACAGGTTTAGTGCAAAAGTGACTTACTTTATCAATCTTTCAATGTAACATGGAGTTTTTAAGCTATTGATATGAAATTGCTCTCACATATTCCTGATAGTTCATTACACTGCATGAATGGGTTAAAAATGGATAGAAACACAATTTTCATAATATAATATAGGGTAATTCACTGAAAATGGACTAATTATCCATGTTTTTTATAAATCCAGAGGAAATGTTTAGATTTCCAGGGATGTCCACTTTAATTTTATTACCAACTTTTTTTCTTCTGATGTCTAAGCTTTAAGTTGATACCAGATTTGGCTGCCCTCTTCAGCCTGTTTCTATGTTATAGCCCATTTTCCTTGCCACATTGCCCCGGAAAATGTGTTTATTGTGGTCCGCGGTGTCAAGACAAGTGTCACGCGCGGTAATTTATGACCGCGAATTCTTCATGATTCAGCTTATAAAATAAGTCACTTTTGCACTAAAACTGTGAATATGTAATATTTTGTAGTTTGAAGGGGTAAATTTATGCCCTTAACCGGAATTAAATATTTTACTGAGGTATTCTTCAATGTATTATCTTTCAACTGGGCAAGAAAAATAAATAAAAAAACAAATCACCAAATATGAGTTTTGGCGCACTTTTGTTCCTACCTGGCCCACTGTGCGGCGGCGCATCGGTAACACTAAGGTGACAGAAAAGTGGTATTCGGTAGCACATCGGCTCTTACATCGGTAGAACGCCGGTACTACATCGGTTTTTCTACGACCAATTTCATGTGTTTTCTCGACGGAGCTCCGCAGATTTTCTAGCCGTTGTTAATTATGTGCTCCTATTTAGTCCCGACGAGGTACATCGGCTAGGTGACAGGCCCTTAACCCTTACTGTACTGGGCTATTTTGAGCAGCCTCTGACTGGGGGGGGGGGGCCTGGGAGGCCCCCCCCCCCCCTATGATCTCGGCCGTCGATTGTCCGATGAACACGAAAATTTGCATGTTTGTAGATATTTACGTAAGGAACAAGATGGTATAATTAGTTTTTTACGAATATGCAAATTTTTGTCGTTAGCCTAATTAATTATGCAAAATGCGCTAATTTTATGCATTTTACAGAAAACCTGTCAAACTCCACTTTTTGAATGTTGAAACTCATTATTCATATGAAACTTCTTTTCTAACACAAAAAAGTTATTTTAATGTAATTAATAATGATAATTTATGCAAATTTTGATGCGATTTTCAATTTTCAATTTTTTTTTTGATGACATGCGCATACTAATTGTTATGTAACGCCTTACAGGTATATCCGATTTCGACGAAAATGGTATCAAAGTGTGCGTAAGACTTGAGGGAAAAAAGTCATGAAACAACAATTCAAAATTCCAAGCAGTTGCGGCGCAATCTCCGAAAATGTCGAGGGGGGGCCTCCCGGCCCCCCCCCCCCC